CGTCCCATGCAAAACAAACCAAGACAATTTGCAGTACTATTTTTGCTGGTGAAATGTGCAATTCTTTCTATTACGCAACTTGCTGCGGAGCGGTGTGTTACCCTCCCATGGTCAGTGAGATCCACCCGCCACCAAACAACATGGCGGCACAATGTCTCCGGGATTTTGTTGAGTGAATAGGGCTCGGTTTTCGGGAATGGTTGGCGTTCTACCGACGGGTTGATCGGCGACCGCTGGAAAGTTACAAGTTTTGGCTCGTCGATCAACGGGGCGTGAACACCACCCTGCACTGGTGGCGTTTATTGCGGGAAGTTCACACATCCATGCCAAGCGCTCCTAAGTGTTTTTTGATAGCCCTTTTAACTCGCCGATTGGAAGCAGTCTTGTTGGAGCGCGGAAACCTTCTCTCCGTGGCAAAAGTCCCTCGGCAGCAAATCGTCCCTCGCGGCGGCATATTACTAGCGTCGCTCAGAGAAAAAATTACGCCCACGCCCAACAAGACTGCGAAGGAGGCTAATTCTACCTGCAGTTTGTCAGAAAACATCAAAAGCAACAGACTTTTTGATACTCCTTTTTGTCAGTATGGCAGTATTTTCTTTAATTTTTGTGGGCCGATCGAGTTTTTTTAAGCTCACTGAAGTCTAATCTCCCACTGGTCATGACAGAGAAGACAGATGTTATGTACTGTATTTACAGGTTCATTGTACCTGGGAAATTCCCCTAGCTTTTTCCAACCAGTACAATGAACAGTAAACCACAGCTCAATGTCCCATCCTAAGGACTGCAACCCTTTCCAGTAGCGTGCATGTCAGATGAGTGACAACAGCTGGGATTCAAACCCCCAACCTAGCATGTTCCAGGGGCAGGGTCGATAACCACTGGACTACACATGCTACATTTTCACATTTTCTTAATTCCACATCACAGTGAGAAAACTGTCCTACTGGTATTTTTAGTATTTGTATAATTGCAATATTATATAGCTGGCAAACTGCCCTTTAGCATAACAGCTTCTAGCAAAGACGTGATACTAGAATTATATGTCCCTGCTTTTGGCAATGTTTACAACTTGAAAGGACACTTAACTCCATTTTTGAGAACTGTCCTTCTCAGAAAACTTGCCAGGGGCTTTTAAAAGGTTCTTACAAGGTTGAATATACTCTTCAAAAAAGGTGTCACTTTCTGACATTTGAGTAAGGGAAAGAACACAGGGTTTGCATGCAGGTTTTCAAGACTTCAATTAGACATGTCCTTGGTGCTGATAACCGGTCAACCACCTGTTATAACTGGTTATTCAATGATACATGCATGTAACCGAATAAGGAAGAAAGGAACTGAAATTATAATGTCGACGAGACAACCTTTGTTGTTCTCTGGACTTTGTAGTCTGTTTTTGGCAACTTCGTTTGAGTCGTGCTCTTGTTAATTAGAGTTTCAAACGATATCTGTATGTGGCATCCGGAGCTAATACAGTTACTGAATAGTACTGAATAATGAGTTATCCCCCATGTGGTTTTGAGACTTAATTTTCGGCAGATAGAAAGCTTTTCTCTCGCTATCAGGGCTTTTCTTCCTTCTGGTATAAATTTATATTGAATTTAGGATTGTAGATTGAGGAATCTTGAATCCTGTGGTGTCCCTTTTGATGCAGAAATGATGTGTTTATTAGTTGTTTCTTTTGCTTTAAGTACTGCGTCTATTCAATTTCCCGTAATAATGAATCCGGAAAGTGAGGGGGTGTTTTAACGCAAACGCTGACCTTCAACATCCGAGAGTTCTTTGTATAAGTGTATTAGGTAAGTGTATATATCCTGTAGAATGTCAATGACCCCTTCAAGTATCAGAGGAAGATTTTATCAAAACCCAATTGAGTTGTGTAAAAAAATTTGTTCTTTTTTAACACTATCATAGAGTGGAACTCACCTGTCATCAAGTACAGTAGGGGCATCATCACTGAATAGCTTTAAGCAATGGTTACAGTTAGATGTGCAAAGGTTAGGTCATTCAGTGTGATGTAATCAGTAGCAGCCGCAACGCGTGCCTGCGAATCTGGTTTATAAGGCTAAATAATACTGTCCATACTGACTCTCCTATGACAAAGTGTTGTTCCAGACCAGAACCTAAGAATCATGATACACGTACTTACAATTTTTATATGAAATACAGAATATTTGAAATGGTGCGAGGAGCTTCATGGAGTTTCATGCTATAAATATGTACCAGGTAAAAGGCCTGTACTTTTCTGTTGAGTGCTAAGCACATTGTGCTGTATACAAGTATGACATTTACTTTGTGCAAAGAGGGTCTTACAAAAACACCTCAAGAGATTATCCTCATTGTAACTGTTGCTTTAAGAGTTGTGTGAACGTTATCTAATAGGCATTAGCTGTGCCAGGCACTATTTGTCCCAGGTTGTGAATTGAGCTCATTATTTAGCTTTCTGTGCCGAAATTGCAGACTAAATAGTGAATTTCTTGTGGAAGTCCCACAGAATAGCAGTCATTACAGACGCATTTTCCCGCACTATGTTCCATTTATTGTTTCTAATGACACATTTGTTGCAAAGTTGTTTTCTCTCGGTGACGTGGCAGCTTTTTGCAGCTAAATCCCCAGTAATTCGTTAGTCTGGTCTCATTATGCCGACATTGTGCACGCCAACTCTCTCGAAACAAGTGGCTCCTTTATGATAGTCGGACAGAAATTGAGAGAAAGCCAGGAGTGTTTTCGAACATGATCTAGCAGAAATCCTGCATTGTCACCCAGGATTAAGGAGATAAAAGTGACTGAAAGGGAACACCTGTGCTGCCTTTTGTGTGAATCGTCACAATTGCTGAACAATATCTTCCCTTTCACCCACCCATCTTGGAACAAATTGTGCAGCACCTAAAAACAAGATGATCCCTTTGAGAAGAAAACAATCCTAAGCTTCGTGGAAAAACCATTTCTAGATGGCTTGAAAGCAAGTATTTCCTTAGTATTGTGCAAGGTAACTGTATTGTATCCATGTGAATGGGTGTTATTCCCACCCTCTTATGCTGCACCTTTTTTTACTTCGACATCTGTTTTGCCAGCAACACAAAGACAGGATGAATCCATGTTATCACAAGTACACACGTTCCCACGATTTCTCTCTTTCCCTCCCCAGCGACTGCTCGGTGCTGAATTCGCAGAAACAG